CAATCAAATAGCATCTGTACGAGTATGTCACGGATTAATATCCTATGCGCTATGATGCGCTATGCAGGTGTTTTAGACAGTCAAAACTGATGATGCAAGATGTCGGGACGCAGACGACGGTACATGATATATTTCCAAATGTATCAAAAACTCTTTTCTTACTGTTTAAAATACGTACATTCTCACAATGCGCTACATAAAATATAAAAATAATAGAAATTATGAAGAAATAAAATTTGTCTTTTATTCTATTAATCAAATTCGTACCATTAATATTTATTAAATTGCTTGTCGCGCGTGCATATATAAATCCTATCTGTCGTTAAAATCTGTAGTACATTGCGCTGAGATGCTGAATAAAAATACACAAAAAAGAATATTCAGATAATTAAATAACTCGGAAGCAAGTCTATTTTAAAGACATCTACATGAAGAAAATGACACTAAATAATCATTTATTGCGTCAAAATAAAATAATATGGCCTAATGCTCGGAATTACTTGCAGTTTTGAGAAGTTTTTCGACACGGAAAAAAATAATTTGCTGCAGCAGCAAACTAATTTGCTACATATAGACAGTTAAATATAATTCGCTGTGTTAGCTACTTTTTCCTTGCTGCAGGAACCTATTCTCTTGCTATGATAACAAGAAAGTCTGCTTCTACAACAAGAAAATTTGTAGCAAATTTGCTACAAATCGACAACTAATTTGCTGCTTTAGCTACTTTTTTTGTAGAAGATTTTCTTGTTATCATAGCAAGGAAATTGGCTTCTGCAGCAAAGAAAAAGTGCCTAATACAGCAAATTAAGTTTAGTTGTCCATATGTAGCAGATCTTTTTTTTCCGTGGAGATTTTATCTTACTTTCTTCCCTTTATTATATTATTGTGATGCAGTTTATTTATGCTCGTAGAAAATATTCCGCTTGGGATATTTTGATAACGCGTGATGGTTCAGTGATGATTTCGGGGGTTGATTTGGGATATTTCTTCCGAAATAGTCTTATAGTCGGCTTAAATAATTTTGAGCGGGAGCGAGGTATTGACGATCGGCACGTTGCCGTGCATTATCGGTAATATCGTGTACGCAGCACAAAAAGCGCGTATTCTCGCGTAATACGGTTAAATACCGTGAAATCGCGTACAGAACTATAACGGCATTCATTATCCCGAAGAAATCTGATTATAATATCCGCTTCAATTAGACCAAACGTACGATTTAATTAACAAATAAATTAATAGAAAAGCGAGGGGGCGCGAAGATAATTTGGCAAAATTAACCGAAAAGTAGAAGCACGATCACGCGCAAATTACAACGCAATTACATTATGCAATAAGATAAAATCGTACACGTTAATTATATTTATTCGGGGTATTCTATTCTTGTTTGAGTGCACTTCTAATTTCACATATGTGTGATTATAATATTTCATGTCAATTTACCGTCAACGTTTCCATCAATGCCAAAACAGCCGCGGCGACGGTGACAATGATAATGACGAGGTGACGCCGGAGCTAATGACAATTACACGTTCACTCGATTATATAAAAGACCATGGCCGCATTAGCCGCGCCACGGTGACAGAAAGTTCCGCCGCTACATTTATCGCTCGCGAAACTAATCCGCGCATTCATATCCGTCTCATAGTTGGAGTATCGTCAAGATCCCGGGAGCGTATTTTAAGTACCAGAATAATCCGCCTCCTCGATGTCTGCCATCCTTCCTCTCTCTCTCATTCTCTCTCGCTCACTCTCTCTCTCTCCCTCTCTCTCTCTCTCTCTCTCTCCCAACCTTTATCCGCCCTTCCATCTTTGCGGTCGTACGTCTTACCTCGTAAAACCGAGGCGGCTTATAAGCGTAAGCGGAGGTAATCCAAGGCGGCCGCCCATAATTTAATGACGTTTAATATGCAGCCGCGAACCGACGGACTATTATTCTGACCTTTGCAGAGCGGGGCGCGGCGCGGGCGCGCGGTTATCTCAGACCGGCGCCGAATCAGGTCGCGGCATTATTATAGAAGCGAAACGAATATCCGTCCGCGGTTATTATACAAAATTTTAAATCACGAGAAAGTTTCCCGCGACGTTCCGCTGGAACGAGCGGAAAAGCGTTCGAGCGCGCAAGCGAGCGCCTGATAAAATATTCCGTGTTACGAAAATTCTCACTGTCATTTCCACGTGCGAACTGTATCTCTCTCTCTCTCTCTCTTTCTCCCTCTCTCTGAGCACGCGCATATGAGCGTGCGAAATCAAATTTATCGCGCCGATTCGCAACAGAGAGATACACGTTACCGGAATTAAATCCAGATTCAGATTCGCGAAGCGAGCTCAAAGACTCGACGATTCCCTTCTGCATAGAAATTTCTGAAGATTTTTACAGTATAAACCGAGATCAGAATGCCCTAATTTGTTCCAAATCGGTTGTCCCACTACAATATCAGCTGGGAACCTCATTCTTGTTTCAGACATGGTTTCTCTATCAAAATAGAATCGAAACGGAAATATTATGGAAACTCGCACTTTTTTATGTCGGTAATGTACTTTTATGATATCAAACAAGATATCCCATTTTCATATCAACTTTTGTATTCATTAGAATGAAAAAATAAAATAATTTTAAAATAATAAGAGCATTTTACTATATGAAACTACTAATGAAACTTTTTGGAAAGTCAACAATTTTATTCAACTCTACTGTAAAATGAAGACTAAATATTCATACAACTTTGTTTTTCCATTTAAAATAGCATGTTTGAAATGTTACTCTTCTATCCAGAACTCATAATTATTTTAGGAAATTGGGTTGGATCCTAATTAGGTCCCAAGACATTTTCATGCGGGTCTTTACGCGAGGAAATCGCAAACAAGGAAAATGCATTGTGATGCAACGCTGGCGTTAAAAACTGACTATGTCAACCTGCCGTCTCTCCTCGAGAGAGTAAATTCGCGAATATTTTTCCCAAACTAGAGAAAAATATCTCTTTTTCTGTCTCTCCTCAAGTGCGAGCGCGAAATACTATATTCAAGGATCGCCGAAGACACTCTCGTCGAGCAAGCGTCGTCATCAACGGCGCCATCGACGGATGTCGCTGATCCTTCGCACGCGAGATTTGCCACGAAGGAAGACGAGAAAGGCGGGACAAGACTCCATACTCTCGAAACGTCGTCGTTGTCGCCGTCGTCCCGGCAAAAACGCCGTCGTTGTTGACGCCTCGACGACTTCTTGCGCCACCCTCGCGCGTCTCGGGGGTGATTTTAAGATCGCGGCACCGCTTCCTTCCCCGGCCCTATCGTTCGCGTCATTAATCCGTTTTACCCGCCAACGGCAGGGATGATATCGCGCGCTACGTCAACGCCGCTCGTCGATTAAGTCGATTATTACGACGGCGAATCGCAATCGAAAGAGCGACGGTGGCGGGTGTGCTCGAGTGCTCGGGGACAGAGGCGCAAATTTGCAGCGTACTTTAATAATGATTTGTCGCGCATCGCTTCAAATGGCGTCTCTGAAAAATGTTCTCTCCGAAAGAGAGATAGCGATCGAAAGCTGCTCGTCATTTATCGTGCTCGATAAACGAGCCGCATTCGCCTTCGTCGTCGCGCATCCCCGCGATCATCGATTTCCGCGCTATCGGTTGTTCCTCGACGACTACAATGGTACAAGTTGTGAGAAGAAAAACTAGAAAAGAATAGCGGAGTCCGCCATCGCTACGCTCGCGAGCGTGTAACACGAAGAAAGAAATGAAAGGATTTTCTAATATAGTCGCGTATCTTACCGCAAATGGCGTACCGGCGACGGAGATCCCTCTTGACCGAGCGTCTTTTTCTAGCTCATTCGATCACCTGATGAATAAAATATTAGTTCTCATGCATTATAATAAAAATGTTTAGCGGCGAGCTCGTTAGTCGCGTTTTTTCGAGTATCCAGAGCCTAGATACTGATGTGTTATATATATATATATATATATATATATATATATATATATATATATATATATATATACATACATATATATGTAATATATACATATTTATATATGTGTATATACATATATATATATGCAATGGTTTTCGATCATGGAATGATTCAAAGCAGCATACGGACAAGTGTATATATTATATCTCTGGTAATTGTGCAGTCGTTTTCGAGAGACATTAAAACTAAATATCCAAGTCGGCTATCTAATGTTCATCATTACAGCTAAGATATCGAGTCCAGTATAAATGAACGATCAAACAGACGGGATTGCGGGTCATCCCTACGCACGACACGAACACGCACATACAACAAAAGGGGGTGGTTAGTTGTGGTGGTAGTGTTGTGGGTGATTGGGTGGATGGTCGGGCGGGTCAGATGCGCGCATTGACGGTCAGGCACGCACAGAGATAAGGAGATGTAGTAATATCACATATCTAAACATCGATCAACTAAAGCTAAGAGATACGAAGACCTGCGAGACAAAACAAGAGAACAAGTCTGGTGTCAATCGAGTATAATATAATATATATAATCGGAGTTTTGGTGAGTCACACACTGCTGATATGAAAATCAATCGGTAATATAATCGGATATAGACATATCCATATATATGCGTATACATACATCTTGATACGTGTGAGTCTAAGTACACATATGCAAGGATCGAGTCTGCATGTTACGTATGTATAGATATATATGCTACGGTTAATAACGATCAAAAGGTGGTGATTGGTGTTAGCATGGTCGAGCGACGATCGAGGCATCAAGAGAGAATAAAGGGAAGGTAGATAGTGAAAGAGACAGAGAGATATATAGATATATATATATATAGAGAGAGAGAGAGAGAGAGAGATAGAAGTAGTAAGAGAATTACAGGGGAAAGAGAGAGAGAGACAGACGAGTATTATATGTATGTAAAAGCGAAGATCTATTACGCGTGAAGAAGAAAGTAAAAGGAGAGGACTAGGGCTTTAGAGAAAAAAATCTACTGACTAATCCTAATTGCAAACCAAACAAACGAACCAACCTCCTCGGTAAGGCCTAGCCGAAAATGTTCGCGGGACCCCTGTAACAAAAACATATATAAATCATAAGAAATCAGAAGAACAAAAAGAAACAACTACTTGACTTTTAATGAGTGACAGTCGTATGTTACAGTATTACACGAGAGCGAGAGAGACGAGGAGAATAATGTCGACTTCCGACGGGTGTCAAACGCTCACGTCGTCGCGGATCGTCCTGGCTCCGGGCGATCGTACACGATCGGAACCACCGTTTAACACTCTTTCTCTCTCTCTCCCTCTCCTGAACGACGATGGCTCCTCTTTCTTCGCGCGTCGCGTCGAATCTAAAACAGGGAGCAGAGTCCCGCCGCGATTCGAGACCTTTGATTCTCTACACGACGACAGATCGATGCCCGTGGAGAGATTCTACGGGGCGAGAGAAATCACCGAAGCTATGTGGTCGCGATAGCATCAGAAGCCTTCTCTCGGCGCAGCTTCGAGTGGTGAAGTCACGTCGTGAAGTCGCCCGGCCACCACACAAGCATCGATATTCACTCGGGAGTGCAAGTCGCGATTTTGCCCGAGAAAGTCGATTGAATTCAAAAATAAAGATATCCCCTTTTGTTTGACACCTACCCTATGCAGTGGGCTCATTTTTTTTTCACAGCCGCTGTCAGGGGGTGCGATCAGGAGCGCGATCGGGGGTGCACTGTGGTGGGCGGTGAGCGCGAAATAAAGTTTGCACCGCAAACCCGCTTTTCGCCCCGCGATTAGCCGCTATCGAAAGCGCGGTCGGTCGGTCGGCCGGCCGACGCCAAACTGGACTGTTTAAACCAACCCCTGAATCGAAAGCGCACGACGCAGCGCGACCCACGGCGAGTCGAAAACCGCCGACAAAATTGCACGAAACAAATGCAAGTTACATCTTGCGGAAGAGCGACGCATCATTAAACGCTTGATCGTGGCAATAAATACGCAGAACTCCCGCAGCTATTTCGACACGCTATAATCCGCCAGCGGAACACAGGCAAAGATCCACGAAACGCGGAAATTTCTTCCATTCCTAATTCTAACAAATCTGACAGAGAATCCGATACTACTTTTGACGCTTGTTGTTTGCGAGACGAGACGATGACGGAGAATAGTTAATTGAGCGCGAAACCTCGCGGTGGAATCGCAAGAAAGCAACGAGAATATCGTCCGGGTAATATTCCAGCGGATGTTGAATCCCCGATGATCTCTCTCCGTCTCGCGCCGATTCGCGGGCGGGCGTGTGTGGGTGGGATAAATGCGCGCCGCTCTAATTATTCTCTGGCGCGTTCACAAAAATGTAGTAAACGCGTGATATACTACGCTCAACGCTCACATACGGTCGCGCGTGCGCGCGTGAACGCGAAATATCGCATAATAAATCGTGTCTTTTATTTCCGAACATCCGGAAGCTTTATTTCTCCTACTGACGCACGCGTGAAATAATCATCGCGCACTCTCTATCAAAGATTAATGCGCACGCGACGGCGCCACCAGCACACGCGCGCGCGTTTACATGAAATCGAAAGGACGAAGAAGAAAGAGAGGAGAAGGATGTATCTCTCGCGCGGAGAGAGCTGCCAGTGCTTCGCGCCACGTATCGCCGTTTGGAAGACAAAATTGAGTTTCATTAACGCATACATATGTACAGCGTGTCCGACAACTCGTTACGCAGCCGCAGTGTGCAGGTAGAACAAACTGAACACAAAATTCTCCTATTATTTCGCAAACTGCCGCGTAAAATTCTAAAACATCAACAAACAAGTTAATTAATGACCACGCGCGATATACGATGGTGAATGAGCTGTAACGACGACGTCTGCCATCGTGTGCTTACACATCAGGACAAAACGAACGAAAGAGTCCTCTACCACTTTGCAAATAACCATGTAGATTTTTAGTTCTTAATTAAAGAAGACTGGTGCATGATCGTCAGCGATAATGCATCATATTTCTGCATACAGTCGCCATAACAGCTCGTCTATCTACATCGCGCGTGATCATTCACTAATCTTCCTTGATTAATAACTTTTTACGTGGTTGTTTGCGAGACACGGTAAAGAAATTTTGTGTTCAATTTGATAAGCTCTACTGTACACCGCGCTTGCATAACGAATTGTCAGGTACTTTGTATACATATACATACGCGTAGGATTTTTCCGCGATGTAATCCACGTGGCGCGCGACGGCGATACAACAAGTTTCTAATATATAGGCAGCCGCGATAAGAGACTCCGATAACGGCGGAAGAGCATGGGCAAAGGGAGGGGGAAGCGTGGGGGCGGCAGAGTACCTTTTACCGTTTCTGTATTATTCGCATTCATTACATTGCGGAACGCGTTCGCGGAAGATTAAGTTTCTCCATCCGTTCGCCGCTGCGCTTTGTTCCACTCGGCATTACGGTAGTTCATACAGAGGAGCGTATTACTATCGCTCCGCCAGCGCCACGTGGTACGGTAACTTATACAAGGGAAAGTCGATGGATAATGCCCGCGCCATTGTAAGTGGTACAATCGAGATAACGGCGCGACGGGAAGGACGGGCAGAGCTTTTTGTCGAAAAATTGAACCCTGCGGGCGCCCGCGCTGGAATAAACAATTTTCGGTAATCATTACTCGGAATTGTCATCTCTCTCCAGGGAGGGTATCTCCGTGGAGGAGAAACAGAAGAGAAAGAAAGGCCCACGACGATGATGTTCGCGTTTACGACGTGTCGGACAGAGAGTTAGAAAGATTTGCTTCTCGTACAAAGAAGAAAACGCACGCGACAAACGGCGAAAAGATCAATTTGCACAGAAATTTTCCAAGATTTTCTCAGATACATATCATACAGATCATAGATCATCAGATCATAGATTTCAATAAAATAGAATTTAATGCCGTAATTAATGCGATTAAAACGTCCTAAATTTGCTCTAAAATTGATCATTCCACTAGGATATCAATTGGGAACTCCATTTATGCTCCAAACATAAGTTCTTTGTCTGGAATTGAAACAGAAATGTAACATTTTTTCAGTCAATAACGTCAGCATAATTTTATAGAATTAATCAAAACAAAACAATTTCATTTTTATATCAACTACTACATTCGATGGAACAAAAAATAAAAAAAAATATATATTTTTTTACACTCTGAATACTCTACTAAAAATATCTGAAAATTCAATATACGTTTTGCCCAACTCTAATGTAAAATGGAAACTAGGTAGAATAATGGGAAAACCTTCGATTCCCCTCTTAGAATCGCGTGTTTGAAATTTAACACTTCCGAACAGAAACCAATACTATTTTGGGTGGATTTTTAAATCGAACTCGATGAATTAGATACCAAGAAATTTTCTATGCCCTCGAAAGCTCTTGGAAATCAGAACGACGGAGAGAAATGACCGCGACGGCGAGAATGTCCGCGATTTTGAAAACGTTAACGTTAGCTTCCGGCGTGACCTTGTTGCTGTCGCCGTCGCTGCTGCAACAAGCTGGTTATACGACATGATGAATAGGGAAAAATTGCCGTGCAGGATCTCTCGTTGAGCGGCCGCGCGCGCGTATCTCGCCGGGAATAAATCAGACGCGGTGAGATTCGAGGCGCCGGAGATACGATAAATACGTGTGCACAGCTGGTTACGAGTGCGCGAACGATCGATCGGTACGTCTTCTTACACCGGTACAAAAGCGCTGCGCGCGAAAACGTTGAACGTGGGGAACGGCTGTGGTGCGTGCACAATGTCTTGAACACCAAGTCTCTTACCTGCGTTTTAAAAGGGACATCGGCACGAGCAGCAGCCTCTCCGATGTATGTTTTTCGTTATGGCGAATCTTTTACTCGACGACTGTGTTTCCTCAAATAAAAATCTACAGAAGACTATATATATATATATATATATATATATATATATATATATATATTGTTATTAACGCGTCGAAACGAATAAGGGAGACGAACGGAGTCCGAGGAGGACCACCCCGTCCATCTCTCGCTCCGTTTGCAAGATCTACACGACAATCCCCGGTGACGACAAGAGAGAGAAACACGATACCGCCGAGAATCTCGTCGTCGAGAATCTTGCCGGGCAAGTTACTCGCCGTGGATATCCGCAGCGCGAGGAGAGAACCCGGTTTAAGGGTCGTCCTTGTCGTACTCGTGTTCGCGCGCGCGCAAGCGGCGACATAATCTCGGGAATCCGACGGGAGTAAGTGCGGCGACGATGGGGTCGATGGGCAGAAGTTGGTGTTAACGGAGGTGCACTGAAGGTTGTTCTAAATGTACGGCGTTCCCCCGTGTCCGCGGTGTGTGTCGTACATATGTAGTCCGCTGCGTGTACGTGAAGAGACACAGGCGTGACCGGCCGAAAGTCTCATAACACTTGGAAACAGGTGGCGTACTCTCATCTTATTGCCTCGACTAGTTCGCGCCAGAGGCAGAGAAAGAAAGTGAGAGGAGAGGGCGGAGGGGGAGACAGAGAGAGAAATCAGAAGAAACAGACGGTACATGTGTATGTGTGTATTTGTGTGGCTGAGAGAGAAAGAGCGAAAGGGAATGAGAGAGGGTGGATAAAGAAAGAGAGAGAGAGAGAAAAGTCGATACATGTAAAAGTAAAAAAAAAGGCGAAAACATGTGAGACGGAAAGGCGTGCACGAGCGCGACGAGCTGACGGCACAGCGGACAAACGAGGAAAAAGCCAATTCGATGTTAACCGAGTGAAACTACGCGGGCAAAGGGAAGTTGGGATGCGCATAATAGACATTTGACTTTGATCACTCCGAATCTCTCTCTTTCTCCTTCTGCCCTCTTCTCTCCCTCTCTCTCTCTCTCTGTCTCTCTTTCTCTGGCTTCCTCTATCGCTCCTAAGCTTTAAACTAGAACGTTAATCTCGCGGTAGCCAAAGAAATTCCTACTGGAAGCTTAATTAGAGTAACATACCTAACAATCGGAATGTGATTAACCGTTGTAACTTCGTACAAACGTTACCGAAAAGTAATTTTAAATCACGAAACGTTCACGCGTCGATATGTGTGTATATATGTACACTC